CCCAGAAAGTAGTAGACCTGAGCTGAGCAGTAGAGCGGAGCCCTGAACTTCCAATCCCCGACTTTGTATAGGACAATCTTTATCTATTTTGTTTATGTTGAACTCCGTTCCGTTTGTAAACTGGATTTGCTTTAGATATGCTTTGTTATCGCCTATGTTAGGGTTGAATTTAAGGCCGGAGGCCATTTATGTAAATTGCATGTTATTACCTTGTGCGTGCTACTGTTGGAACTATATGATTGTGTTTTTAACAGGTTGAAAAATTTGGAAAATGTCCATTTTCCAAGGGAGACTTGGACGAAATTTCAGCAGAAAGTCTCGCTCCTCTTTTCCTTGATTTGGAAAAGAGGCTATGGTTAGTAAGTGGGCCCGGCATCAGTTGGATCTTGGAAATACCATGGAATTGGTCACGAATTCTGAGGAATTTTGGGACGGGTCCTGTCAAGGTTGAGCACTTTCCAGCAATTGTGCTTCAGTTCCCGTCATTCTTTTATATATATAAATACAAGGGTACATGAACTGGAGCGAGGACAACCAAAAAAGAAAATCAAACCAAAAACTCTCAAACTGACAAAAATCAAGAAAGATCACACGATCTCAAAAGTCTTCAAACTTAGAAGAAATCAAGCTATCTAGCTTACAAAAGCCATCCAGTTTCTAACAAAACAGGCATAACTTAGATTTATGAGCCCAATTCAGCTCAGCCAAGTAGCTCAAAAGGCTCTCGTTGCAAATGCCATTCAGCTCACATGAATCAAGCAGAACTCGGCTTTCTGCCGTTACAAATTTGGTTCTAAACAAGTGAACCAGGCAGAACTCAGGTTATTCATCATATGAAAACCTCAACAAATGCTCAGAGACACTTAATGTCCTAAGCATACCAGAATAGTACACAAGTGATCCCCAACCAAGCAGAACATGTACAGAAGTGCAGTCACAAGTCAACAACTGCCAATCCAGCCACTTCCAATCAAGCCCAAGTTAAAGAAACCCCAGATCAAACACAGAAAAGACACCAGCCTGTCTTAATCTCATATAGATGGCCTCTAGAACAGTCAGAGCAGACACGAACTTTCAGTTCTGCCCATTTGTCAAGCCTCTCCATGGCTCAAACTGATTACAGCTCTGCCAATTTCAACATTGGTATCAATTTCCAGCTAATCTCTATTAGTTGATGGTGCTGACGTGCAATTCCAGTACAGATACATCCAATCCAGCCTAAGTCACAGGCGGCAATCCAGGCATAAATTAAAGCCCAATGTTCTGAATTCTTTCCAAACTTGGCAGTTCCTCTCCTTTAGTGTATAATAAACAGTTCCCCCATGAATTCGTTTGTTTTATCATTTTCAAACACTTGTATTTCGACTAAACTTACTAGTTTTTACTGTAGGAAATTATAAAGTCCTTACCCGTTTGAGGCAGGAAAAGAACTTACTTGGGAGATATTCCTTACCCAAATTCACAATTGTTTGTTCAAGTCAATAGCTTGGGGCGCAAGTTATTACATCTATTAAGTCTGTTAAGGTTTTTAACTACTAAAAGTGGTATGCTCGCACATAAAGAAAGTTGACTTCTTGACCACCAATGGTTTTCAGGTCAATGGGGAACTTTACCCAACTAGGACAGGTAGAACAGAAAACAGGTAAACAGTTTGTCATAACTCACATCCCACCAAACAAGGAGTAGCTGGCCATGCCCCTTCCTATGCCTTCTCAATGCACAAGGCCCCAAATCAAGGAGAGCAATGTATACTCTACCACTACTTGGACTACAAAAGGGAGCTCACCAACTCCAAGCAAAGGGACCAGCAACTACCACTTCTCCAAGAGCTCTCCCAAGCCCTTTATTTCTCTTCTACAAGAGCTCTTAAGCCTCTCTTCACATATCTCTCTCTCATGTAAAATGTAATCTCCATATTCAAATACAAATATAAAGCTATAAACTGTAGTGGATGTAGCCCCATTATGGGTGAACCACTCCAACACTTGTGTTACGTATGCGATTATTTCTTAATTCGTTAGGTACAAATTCACTCGTTAACAATAAGCTAGCATTTAAAATGGATATTATCAAGTCATTTTTAATGATTCATTCGTATTCATGTCGTATCATTTTGTGTTCATGTATCAAGAAATTGTCACTACTACAAAAATCGAAATAGACGACGGTAATCCACCGTCGTGTATTCGGTTTTTCAACCGTCGTAAAATCAAGCGACGTCTTTTCATGCATATAACCACGACGGTAAATCCCCGTCGTCTATTATTTTTAAAAACGACGGTTTTTTAATAAAAAGGGTAATCTATTATTAAGTAAAGACGACGGTTTTTTTATAAAAAGGGTCGTCTATAATATATAAAGACGACGGTTTTTTTATAAAAAGGGTCGTCTATAATATATAAAGACGACGGTTTTTTTATAAAAGGAGTCGTCTATTATATGTATAGACGACGGTTTTTTTATAAAAAGGGTCGTCTATTATATGTAAAGACGACGGTTGTTTTATAAAAAGGGTCGTCTATTATATGTAAAGACAACGGTTTTTTTTATAAAAAGGGTCGTCTATTATATGTAAAGACGACGGTTGTTTTATAAAAAGGGTCGTCTATTATATGTAAAGACGACGGTTGTTTTATAAAAGGGGTCGTCTATTATATGTAAAGACGACGGTTTTTTTATAAAAAGGGTCGTCTATAATATATAAAGACGACGGTTTTTTTATAAAAGGGGTCGTCTATTATATGTAAAGACGACGGTTTTTTTTTTTAAAAGGGGTCATCTATTATATGTAAAGACGACGGTTTTTTTTATAAAAAGGGTCGTCTATTATATGTAAAGACGACCGTTGTTTTATAAAAGGGGTCGTCTATTATATGTAAAGACGACGGTTGTTTTATAAAAGGGGTCGTCTATTATATGTAAAGACGACGGTTGTTTTATAAAAGGGGTCGTCTATTATATGTAAAGACGACGGTTGTTTTATAAAAGGGGTCGTCTATTATATGTAAAGACGACGGTTGTTTTATAAAAGGGGTCGTCTATTATATGTAAAGACGACGGTTGTTTTATAAAAGGGGTCGTCTATTATATGTAAAGACGACGGTTTTTT